CAATAAACTTATCCTCGGAAGCCGTTTTTTATTATTATATGATCTAAGTTCATCAAGAAAAATGACAGAATGCCATTCTTGAGCCCAAAGACGTCTCTCTTCACACCAGCTGAGCTTTTCGCTTCTGTGTCTAGCAGTGAGTTTTTTTAATTATCAAAAGTAAAATTAATTTAAAGTATTTATTATGCAATATAAATTGATAAAGAGGGATAAATCTCCCTCAAAATATTTTTGAAAAAATAAATTATTTTTCTTTCACAGATTCAGGCATGTGTGTGTGCTTTTTTATATAAATATATATTCAAAATTCCCAAATAATTTGCAATTAGAAATATGGTCTACTTTTTAACATTCTTTATAAACTATGTTAATACATCATAACAGTTATTCTTTTTCTGAATATTATTCATTTTAAAAGAAATCTTACTTAATTGCTTCACATAATCCTTTTCCCATTATTTACGATAGAGAGCTTTTGGGTGTAGGGAAGCAGATCAATCCTAAACTAAAGTCGCCAAATGGTTTAATGCTAATATAAATAAGGTATTCCAGCTCTGTAAACAATTCAGTGGAACCCATCACCAGAAAACCAGGGCAGGTCGAAAAGATCCACCACGATCTAAGAAGATTATTATCTGACTGATTGTGCTGAATTCGATAGAGTGTTGAGAGCTACTCGATCCTCCAATGATCTTTGATGTGCTTCTAGAACGACAGCTTCATGGCAAACTGTTTATCAAAGTCTTTTTTTTTTACTGAGGGTGGTCTTCATACAATACGACCAATGGTCGTTTTCACAGCAGAGCCGGCTTGAATTGGTGAAGTGAATATCAGTCCCAGTGGGCTCATGATCTCTTTAGTGACGGGTCAAGATTCATTCCAGACGACAGATTCTCGAAGAATCTTTATTTGTAGAGAACCTGAGAACCGCTTTTACCCCGATAAACTCGGAGAAAGAAACCATTTTGAGGATAGGTTTCATGGCCTAGGCTGTCTTTATTTTGAACAGGCATACATCTCTCCACGTATTTGAGGGAGGCACGTTGACTGTTCAAATATACAGGAACAATAATCATGAGCTCTATGAATGATGTTTCAAGGTGTTATTGGCTCCCAGTTCATTTTTATGGAGGATATTGTCCGTCCACCAAGGGATAGAAGTGCTAGCTAATGTTTTCCTCGAAAGTGAGGTTTTTTAAAGGATGGATTGGCCAGTCAGATATCCAGACCTCAATCCAATAGAACATGTCCTTAGAAATATGCGTCTAAACTCGTCAGCCACCTCGCAGTGTCCTGGCAAAAAAAAATCTGCTCTTTTTGAGGAATGCTTGTTAATCAGCCTGAAAGCTCGCTGTGATTGTATAGCTGGTATAATGGTGACCATACTCTTTATTAATCTCTATTTCTTGGAGCCTCATTTTTGTATGTGAAGAAATTATTTGAATATTTTAAATCCGTAGGATTTGATTGAAAATCCCCTTAGAATAAGCTATTTTGTATGACAATTTTTCTATCATGATTTTAATATAGTACAAATATAACTTTTATTTGTTTAAAAAATATATTTGTGTTTTCAATTTAATTTATGGCACTAGTGTATAATACCAATTGAACGGGGAGATAAAATAAACATGGGTAGTTCTCCGTGTATGTGAATGTCTCTTCAGTAAAGGCTCAAATCAAGCGTTGACGCGTAACAAGCAGCTATTGTGTTGAGCTGTAAGGAGTACACGCTTTCTAACATTCTCAAAAGTCTATTTTCACCTTAACATCAACTCCTAAAAAATGTTTTTGTTATCTCCCGAGTATATCAGGCTATGATAGTCGTTCTGAGTAGTTTGCCACTGCTTCAAGTACATCACATGTATAAATTTACCGTGTGAAGTACACCTATTTGGGTTAATTTCTCTCTCTTTTTTTCATATTAATTTTTTAAATCACCATAGAATTTATCGTTTCACGGATAAAAACAATTGACAAGAACAAAAATACATAATTTTAAAAATCCTCAAAATTTTTAAAACTAGAAGCCATATCATTGGAAGCCCACACAGTTGTATAGAGCAGTCCCCCATGGGAGAGATGGGCTGTGCTCCCAGCATTCACATCAACCAGGACAAGATCGCCGAGGGCCACGTCTGCCCTGAGACCGCACTGGGCCGCAGCTCACCTCCCAGACACGGCCCCTTCTTCCCACTCCACGGCCCCCGACAATAAAATGGAACTTGGAGGGCAAAAACCTGATTTACGTTACTACATCTATAAATGGAATGATGTGTTTTCCGTCAATAAAACACTTTGATTGACGTTATCAATTAACGCGTACTCACAGAATATAAATTGTTATCGGAGAAAACCACTAATGAACACAAGTAACCAAACGGAATTCTGGAAACTTGCAAGTTCTGGTGCGCTTACAGTAAAAGATGTCGCAAACAAATCATATGATTTCTAAATTTACAAATTCAATAAACCAATTAATTTATAAATTTATTAAACATCAGAAGATAGAGTTAAAATCTAAACAAAATATTTTAATAAACAGATCAATATAGTAAACCCTCACACACTAATGTTAAATAAGAATAATTAAATACTGTGATATATTAGAATTTTATCAAATTACGAAACTATTTTAGACGCGTAATATTCTTTTTAAAATAAAACAATTTCTACTGCCCTTACTGCAATGGAAAAATTAAAGGGAGGGCATTGCAGTAAGGGCAGTAGAAATTGTTTTATTTTAAAAAGAATATTACGCGTCTAAAATAGTTTCGTAATTTGATAACAGATGGCGCGCTAGTGCATCGTAATATTAGAATTTTAATAAATATATATTTTAACATATATAATTCAAAATATTATGAAAATATTTTTAATAATGATATATATTCAAAAATTTACTCAAAACTAAATAATTGAAAATTTTTGCAAATTGAAAATTAGCGCCCGAAGTTCATGAAAAATGAAAGCCGCCATAAAATTCGCACCTATGCTAGGGATGTGTGGAATAGAGAAACTCTAATAGGTCCAAATAATCCCTTGCATCAATTCAAAGTCCAGTTGGCTTGGAAATTATTTGTTACGTCATGTGCTGTCTCTGATCGGAAGGTTGGCAGCCAGGAGTTCCGTCCTCCTCGATCCTGGACTTTAACATCCACTCCTGTCCTTGAGGTCTTTGGTCAATTATCTTCTAAGTCATCCTCTTTTCTTTTATTCTCTTACGTATTCTTCCGAGGCTAGAAATAGGTTCATGAAACCATGATCATCATCCCTAAATTAAAATATAGAAACAAATTATAGAAATCTAACCTAATAGTTGAAATTTAAGCCAACTTCTCAATACCACAATAATGGAGAGAGTTAAAAATAATATTAAGTATAGGAAAAAAGAATGATAAATTGCTTAATTCTGTGATGGGCATCATCGGTGGGACTGCGAGCTGACATGGGATGCGCATGTAGCGTCCACGTCACTCAGCAGGACCTGTGCTTCGACCCCAGCGGGGTCCGGCAGCTGCAAGTCCCCGGGAAGTACCGCTTCATCCTCCGCCCCGGACATCGAGGGAAGCACGTTTCTCGGAAGGCTTTGAGCGACAAAAATTTCTCATGAAAATTTATAATAGATTTGATCATTTTCGAAATGATGCTATGAAAGAAAGGAATGAAAAGGAAGCATAGAGGCGTCAATGGCTACATTACATGATTATTACAAGAAAAATTCCATTTATTGTACTCATGATTCAAGCACATCTATACTATTCATTCATGTGACACTAATGTATTAGCCAAATGCATAAGAGGGAAAGGGTCGCGGAGGTAAACCCCGATATGGCTGTACCGTGGAGAAAACTCGCCCTGTAATGCTTCAAGAAGTTGAAGACTCCAGAAATGAACTTGGACGAGTTTTAAAAGCCTTGTAAAAGAGACATGTTTATTATATCAGCTAGTAGCGCGCTTTTAAAGGCAAACAAATACAAACAAAAGAGAAATGATGCAAAATATCTATTTACATATATAGAAGAAAGAAAAACAAAGTATCAACATATATAGTCACGACCGTCATGGGCGGCCGGTTCTGTCACGGATGCGCGCGCACAGGGAGGTCACGTGCTTAGCCGGCAGCCAACGGGCGCGCGCCGCCGGCATTACGTCATAGATTATAAACACAAGGTAATAAGGCCAAATAAAAAAATAGTGTGTGATAAGGCACAATTTGGGTTATCTACTTATATAATTGCCTTATTCTCTCTGTGTGAAGTTCACTGTGTGAAGTTCACGGATAGATTTTGGTCAGAATGGATAAAATAAAAAAAGTGTCAAGGGATGGGAATCGAACCCACGACCTTCCGCTTACCGGACAGATGCCATGACCACTAGGCTACCCTGGACATATTTTTCCGTTCACATTTTTATATTTTCAAGACATACACAGTTTGGGGCGGGACGTTTCATAAGAGAGACATCCACGGCGCCAATTTATAATTGTAACGAATAGTATTTTAATTAAAACATTTTTAAAATATATACGCACTCGGGTAAAACCCGGGCGTTGCCCGGGCCATTCGTCTAGTATCCCTATATATAGTCACGACCGTCATGGGCGGGCTGGCCGGCCGGCCGGCCGGCCGGTTCTGTCACGGATGCGCGCGCATCATCATTATGATCATTATCATTATCTAATGATAATAATAATAATAATTATTATTATTATTATTATTATTATATTATTATTATTATTATTAACATATATAGTCACGACCGTCATGGGCCGGTTATGTCACGGATGCGCGCGCTCAGGGAGGTCACGTGCTCGCCGGCAGCCAACGGGCGCGCGCCGCCGGCATTACGTCATAGATTATAAACACAAGGTAATAAGGCAAAATAAAAAAATAGTGTGTGATAAGGCACAATTTGGATTATCTACTTATATAATTGCCTTATTCTGTCTGTGTGAAGTTCACGGATAGATTTTGATCAGAATGGATAAAATAAAAAAATTTCAAGGGATGGGAATCGAACCCACGACCTTCCGCTTACCGGGCAGATGCCATGACCACTAGGCTACCCTGGACATATTTTTCCGTTCACATTTTTATTTTTATATTTTCAAGACACACACAGTTTGGGGCGGGACGTTTCACAAAAGTGAGATCCACGGCGCCAATTTATAATTGTAACGAATAATATTTTAATTAAAACATTTTTAAAATATATACGCACTCGGGTAAAACCCGGGCGTTGCCCGGGCCATTCGTCTAGTTTTTACATATAGGAGAAATATTTTCCAACAGAGATAGTAGGCTTATTTTATTAAACACAATTACATATAAAATAAAAGGATTTAAAACTTCTAAATTTAAAATTTAGAAGTTCGTTTTGTGTATAAAAGAAACATTCGCGCATTTTAAATCCTTTTATTTTATATGCATAGATGGCGCGTTATTGCTTTGTGTTAAACACAATTACATATCGAATAAAAGTATAATATCAAGTATCGCATTATAAAACAATCCATTGAAAATTATTGCTATATAAACGAACTTTCAATCAATTCTGCTCTTATACCTACCATAAATATAAGTTCTTAGTTCTATATTTGAAAAGTATTTTATAAAGTGAAACATGTATGATAGAATTTTCTCTTAATTTATTCAAAAAAAATCGTATTCAAGACCTTTTGATCCGGTATATTTCTACAGATTTTATAAATTTATAATGCTCCTTTATGGCCTGAAGCTTCAAATTAAAGACCTCTGTAACTCGCAAGCTCTTTAACAGAATTTTAATTTTATTTTGGTCTCAATATGTGTCTTTATATTTAATATTCTATACTCTCGAGGGGTTTAGATAACCCGAAAAAAGCCCTTAACCTTTAACTGGACGGGTTGGGTAGATTCAACCCACTTATGTAACTTTATGAAATAAGCGCTCAAATAATGATTTAAATCAATATTCAAAAATATATTTAATTAATATAAATGTTAATATACAGATTTCGACTTTAAAAATTCGAAATATAATATATTTACAGTTTTCACAAATTTTTAAGAAATGTTTTTGCAAACGCTTAGTTAACATATGATGCACTAGCGCGCCATCTGTTATCAAAATTCAAAACTATTTTAAAGGCGTAAGATTCTTTTCGATATTGAACAATTTCTACTGCCCTTACTGCAATGGAAAAATTAATGAGAGGGTCTGGCTCATCAGTGGTGAACCCTCTCAGCGGTTTCGCCAGTTTAATCTACCACACCGCTGTTATATTGCATTTTTGGAACTTCCTTTCATAGTGATACTGTTGATAGACTCTCTGAATGGGTATTTTAGAAGAACTATGGACATAAGCTTTGAGGACAGTAGAATTACATACATTTATAAATATATAATATGCTTCGAGCAATCGCTCTTCCGCAAATATCAGTTTATATATGGTGCTAAAATGATAAACGAAACCATCAATTGATATGAAATAAATATAAATGCATCTAAGCTGAAAACCATATCAAAACTTTCACAATCAATTTTGCTCTAGCCATTGATGACCAAAATGTCGAAAAGATGCCGAGCTTTCGTTGTTTAGAACAGCTTACAAGAGATGACGGTTATTGCAGTTGTAAAAAACGATCACGAGTTGTATTTTAATAACTGTCTTCAGAAATAGGCAAATGTTAATGATTCAAAACACTTTAGAACTATAGCTGTGACTTTTGAAGGTTTTTATACGGCACGTAGCATTCATTATACGGGGGCGAATCGCGGATGCTGCTCACCCATGGTCGTCAGGATGCTGGAACGTTTTGAGTGTGGTACTGGAGAATTCTATTGAAAATATACCGTGGACTGTAGATGTCACATATTGACAAGGTCTTAACACTAGTGGTCGAAGTCTGATGTTTCATTTAGATGCAAAAGAAACGAAGACTGAATTAGATGTGGGTGATGCAATAAAGCTTGATATATCATATTAAAACGATTAATTTAAAGACGCATTGAAAGTACTAGGTCAATAGGACACCCTCATACTACATTTGTGGGTGGATCAACTGGAGGGAGAAGCCAAGGCAACGTTTTATCAGCAATCGGAACCTATCGCTGTGACCCTCGATGTTTTATTGAAGAAACACCAAGTAATAGAACTGGTTTAGCTCTTTATTATTTGTGTGATAGCTTATTCTATTGCCATTATCCATCCCAGATAAACTGAGAGCTGTTGCTTCAAAAATATTACAGTAAAGTTTCTAATCAACAGCCCATCTGATGAGCGACCACCTTCCTAAGCGATCATTTTTTATATTATCAAAAACGACTTGTCCTTATCTAATCCAGTCTTTAATGAATAAATACCCTAGAAGAGAATATGTGTGCAAGTATACATTTTCGTCGATATTTCCTGGCATATCTTACCGAATTTTAAATGAGTGGTTATTTAATAGAATAGCAATGTTCCAAACTGGAAAAAAACTGTCAAGTTCGGTATAGCCAGAATCTACTCTCTGTCAAGGATCAACTAAGTAGATCCACAAAGATAATTAGCTCAACTCTATGCAAGCAAGCGCAAACAACTTGATTGATCGAATACGAGTTGCATAACCACAGACAAATTACTGTTGATCTCTCTTCAACAAACAGCTTGGAAAGTCAACAAACAATAAGCGGAAAATCTCCTCATGAATTATTTCCTTGAGAACATATTATAATGATACACAAATAAACAAGAGTATCTATACTTGTATAATTACTACACAAACTAAACCTAATTAATTTTCCCGGTAGAAATGCGTGCAAAGCAAAACTCCGATTAACCAAAACGTCTGAGACTAGAGGATTGTCGATTAATAAAACGATCCAGATAATTGAGTTGATTTATATTGAACGATCAGAACAAAACACTTCTACACAAGGTTTGTAAAGGGTAATCAATGCTTGATAACAAAAGTCTCAAAGTAAAACTAATGTGAGCAAATATATATATATTTTGATAAATATAAACCATTAGGTTCGATGTTCGTAGGACATAGGTTTGAGCATTCCTTAGGTTTAAAAGCAAAAACTCACTAACTGACACTTCGTTAAAATTTACGAAGTTTCCTCTACGAAGTAAATGTGATATCGTAAGTAGTATTCCGATGGAGCATGATCAGGGTAACAAGCTGGGTGGGACAGAAGTTCAATCCCCTTCATATCCTGACTTTTATGGAAGGTTAAAGGCGCCTTGTGAGGCGAGACGTTGTCTAACTGTATTAGCACCTGATTTCGGTTTAATGGAGTTGAATATTTGAGGAATAAAAATTCATAAGTTCTTTCAATTTTTTTAGAGTACACTGCGTGACATTGAAAATGGAACACCAAGAAATAGTGGCCAGAAAATTATGCAAATTTCAGAGTAGACGCGCCTAACCGAGTTATGCAAATGATGTAAAATGCGCAGCTCTCGTGCGCACATGGAGTAAGATATAAGGGAAGGAACTTGCAGAAAGGACAGTATTCGTGTCGTTATTTCTTCAAGGAAAATCATTGTAGAAATTTTGTTCTTGTGTCAAAAGACACGTGTAATAACAGAGAATGCCAGGTCATCGTAAATGGAGGCAGTTCAAGTAGACAGACGCTTTTACGAGGGGCATGGTGATCGGACTGAAAAGGGCAGGTTGGTCCATACGTCAAATCGCAGCTGATACACAGGTGCGTCCACGGTGCACCGACTGTGGAGAAGATGGTTGGAACAAGGAAATGTGGCAATTTATAGGAATGTCGGTGCAACCAGAGTGACGTCAGCACGTGTGGATCGGCGTATCCTTCGACAAGCAGTGGCGGCCCCACAAGCCACTTGTACCGCCATCCTGCAACATGTGCAAGACGCCCTAGATCATTCCATCTCGACCAGAACCATTTCCCGTCGATTGGTTGCTAATGGCTTGCACTCATGCCGTCCGCTAAGAAGACTGCCATTGACCCCACCGAATAGGCGCCAACGTTTGGAATGGTGCCGGGCTAGATCGACGTGGATGACGGAATGGCACAGGGTCGTGTTCTCAGATGAGTCGCGTTTCTGCTTGTCCAGTGATAGTCGCCGTGTACGCGTGTGGCGTCGACGTGGAGAAAGGTCCAATCCGGCAGCAATTGTGGAACGCCCCACCGTGCGACAACGTGGAATCATGGTTTGGGGCGCAATCGCGTATGATTCCAGGTCACCTTTACTTCGTATTCAAGGCACTATGACGGCCCAACGATACGTTGATGATGTGCTGCGACCGGTGACACTCCCCTACCTTCAGGGGGTACCCAATGCCCTTTATCAGCAGGATAACGCCCGACCGCACACTGCTCGCATTAGCCAACAAGCTCTGCAAGATGTACAGATGCTTCCCTGGCCACCGTACTCTCCTGATCTCTCACCAATCGAGCACGTCTGGGACATCATTGGACGCCGTTTGCATGCCTTGCCACAGCCGCGTTCAGAAGACGAACTGTGGCAAATGGTTGAGAGGGAATGGAGAGCCATCCCTCAGGACGCCATCCGTACTCTGATTGACTCTCTACCTAGACGTGTTGCTGCGTGCATCGCCGTCCGCGGTGGTCCTACTTGCTACTAAGCCGACGCCGTTCTCGCTCTGTATTATGACTATCATTTTGAAATAAAGATCACTTATTGTTCGTCCCTGTCTCTCTCTGTCTGCCGAGTTTCATCACTTTCTGGCCACTATTTCTTGGTGTTCCATTTTCAATGTCACGCAGTGTATATCTCAGATCATTAGGAACCAATTCGAAGTGAACTTCACACCTTCAAATTCTTGCCAAATACGGGGACCATCTTGTATTTCTTGAATACCTCGCTTAGCCAATGGTTCTGGAAGCTACCCTGGTTCCAACCACTAATTTATCACGTTTACAGATTTTAAGGAATCCATTTTTTATTCGCTCTTAACACTTCGTTCAATGAAACGATCACCTGTGGGATGGTTTAGCAATTCCTGGTAGGTCTCAACCCAGCGCTGCGCTTGGGCGCATGTCAAATAACAGGGCACCACTCAACAGCTCCTATTGACTTGTCCTATCTTGTGTTGAACTATGTTT